CAACCTAAGCACCGCTCGATTTGCCTCTTCGGGCAGTCTTTCCTTGTTTTTGAGAAGGCCTCATTGGGGAACACGGCCATGTCAACGCTGTAGGGCATGCTGCTTGGCCACGTATGTACCAATAGAGGCGAATCATGAGTTTCCGATTGACCCATGACATCTTTGGCTTGATCCAGGCGAGCATCTAACAAACGCAAAATTCGGTTGGCCCACACCTTTCTTCGAGAGCTATGGCGTCTGCACTCAAAACAAAAAAATTGCTTTGCAGCCAAAGATAATCTCTGCGCTAAAGGATATGCGAAAGAAGAGTTCTGGGAGAGCTGAAAGCGCAATACTCCATGTATCCGGGATTCAATCGGCACGGTATTTTGACAGTGATTCCCGTCATTTGCAACCCATATGCACCGCTCACGGTGCAATGGATCGCCCAATACTTGGCCCAATACCCGTTGGAGACGAGTAGGATTCCAGGCCATGATGAGGAATAGCTGCAAACGCCTCGGGGTGATTGTGTGATCTGGGGTGTAGTCTCCCGGTTGGAGAGTTCTACCCTCGAGTGGTATCTGTGATCAAGTAGGAAGAGTGCAATATATAGATGCTTGAGAAAGCACGTAGTGGGACTTTACATCTCGCTGGGCCCTTACATGCCTGAGCATGAAGTCTGGGCTTATTTGGGGACCGAAATTTCTCGTCTCGTTCCTGGAAAGACGGTGTTAATTCCTGGGAGCTCTAGTCGCATTGTTCAAGATTAGCATACGCGATGCGTGGAGAAATGATACGCGGGACATACGTCTGGGCTCCCTTGAACGCGAGGAAACAGAAGCGACTTTCTCGCGCTACGTCTTGTACTTAGAGTCAACTATAGTTGCGCTTAACATTGATTATTCACCTCGAGACAATATCGGCCTCTATGCATACGTGAGACCCTCACACCCTCACCAAAAGCTAGTGGGAGTATCGCTACATTTTCAGAGCGGAACGGAGTCTCAATAGCTCTAATGCGCTGGTACCTTGTCTGGGGTTTTAGCTAAGTGAACCTTGTGGAATGTGTATACAGCCAACTCTTGGGTCGGCGGGATAAGTTTTGACAATCCTCTTGCCGGTTTTGAGTGGACTATGGGAATCAAATTGGCCCTGGGAACGTCAAAAGAAATTCTAGGAGCTGTGTATTCATTGGGAGTCCCAACTTAGCTCTTGGGGCCCTTCATGTTCCTGAGGAACTGAAAGTTATTCCTGGGACCTTCAACCGATTCTCTAAATGAATAGGAAATGGCTTTCAGAACATATCGGCTGGCTCTGGGACCTTGCTTCAAGGTTCTAGAGGTAACCTTCTGCCACCGAGGGTCGAATTAGAGCCTCACAAGATCCCTTCACCAGACCTACGCACAGATCAGAGCCATTTAGTTATTACCAGAAAGCCAATTTGTGGTTCCAGGACTCAAGGAAGCTCAAAACAGGGAACAAGTCTGTGATTCCTCGAGGCGGAGATACAGGACCCCAGAAGTTACGGCGGGTTTCCTGGGGCTACCTGGCTCCTAGAAGCTGCTTATATGCTCCCCGAAACCGCACACATGCCTCTGGGAGCTCTCCTGCTCCCAGGGCCAAGATGGGTGTTCCTAGCACTGATAGAGCCATCAACAGAAACGTGACTGATGGTAGTGAAGTGCATAAACCTACTAGCTACTGTACGTTTGATTCCTGGGGCTCTGTGATTTCCGAGCTACTCGCAAGTTTCCATGGTCAGCCTTTAAAGTCTTTACAAACACCAAGATTGATGGGTATTTCCACATAGAAGATCGGTAGCTATATCTTATCTGTCCTTTATATCAAGCTACTCAGAATACTGCTCCAAGATTGGCTACGATGGGCCGGCTAGTCAGATCAAGAGATGAACACCCTTTAATTCCAATCATTAAATTCACTTGCTAAATCATCTTAGCAACTCTGGAGTAAATCCATTCCTTTGCATGAATTTGACCGTCGTATTTCTCTAATATTTTCGAATTCCACATCTCCTTCACTCATCCATCAAAAAGTCATAATGAACATTTGCGATAGTATCCATTCGAAATGCTCCCTACCTAGTTCCTTCACAGCCCTACTTGGTGGAGCACTTCGAACCGCCACTTTCGCTGTTTTGTCGGCTCAGTGTGCGTATTCTGCTAGTGACCTTACAAGTCACGTACGACAAAACGAACGAGAGACAAGATGACCATTAGAGACCCAAAAGCGGCCTGGCCAACGGCCCCATATTACATAATTTTGTAGTATGGGAAGTGGCCCTCATAGTCAAAACAAACTCGAAGGATGTCTGAAAACCGTGGACGTGGCTGGCAACATAACCCTCTAGGGAGAGAACGGCCAAGCTCACAATGATTTGAACGCAACTGTAGTAAACTCGAATGTTGCAGTTCTCCTGTAGCCATTTTGGGTAGATCATGAGGACAAACCCGAAGATGGAAAACAAAGCTGAGATAAGGGCTACAATCACCATGCCCTCGACGACGTTGTCCATGAGGTTTTGGAATGTGATGTCCAAAATAGAGTCGCTCGGGGTGACGAGGTCAGATTTTGCGCAATCTCTCAGGACGACCGCAAAATGTACAATGGCGGAACTGAGACTGGCAAGGGCCAGCCAGGTGGTGGTAAGGAATAAAATGACGAGACGTGTTCGGATCACGGCCCCAGCAGTATTCAGAGGCATTTTGAGTCCAATTTATCGAATGCAAGAAGGTGATGCAGGTCTCATCTCAAGGGAACAGTTAAACAAAATAAAGAGTGGGAGGGAGAAAGATGAAGCAGGTCAATATCTTCGGGCTCCGTGAAGTTTATATGTGCTATGTGCTCTTCACGCAAAGGCTGCCTTTACAAAGAGTAGCGCAGCTGATACCGAGCAGGCCCAGATGCCTTTTTAATTACCTGCTGCCTTAGTGGCAATCGCTATAGGAATTTATTGGATAGGAGTGTTCCAAGTTGAAGCAGTCTTCATATCTTTGACGGCCTCGAAAAAAGTGTCCGGTCTCTTGGGAGTAACGCAGGTCTGGAATCATCCCGTGCGTTCCCAGGTTTTACGGTCCTCTACAACGGGGCAACTATACTATCAACTTCTCCAAGATGTGTGATAGGTTGTACATAGACCATTCCAATTTTGGTAAAATCGTGAGACGAGGAAGCTATGCTTTGCTGTTGGTTGAAAAACTCCCCAGCCGTTCCTCAGGAAAATGTAGCCACCTATTTTCTGTCTCCTCTGTTGAGCTTATTTTTGCCAGCAAGTTCAGGTTCTATTTCCGACGGTGCGACAACCGTTACTGTTCGGTGAATCCCACGGCCGATCAAAAGTCAAGTTTGCACTGGATCTGATCAAATTTAACCAAAAATGCGAACAACACGGCTCACACAGATATCTTCTTGGGCGGAGGATTCACATGCTTTTGGTGTTTATTGTTGTTTTATGTTTAACGTTGATATCGACATTGATATATGACACCATTCACCACCTGTACATCGCCAAAGGCGCTGGAATGAGAATACTCAACGGATATTATCATATCGGCACAATAATAGCGGACTGTGAATGATGAACCTAAAGGCTCCAGCGCTCGTGGAACCACAAAAGAGACTCCGCTGGTTGAATTAGGGCTAAATTAATAAAGTAGGCGGTATAAAACCGGACAGGCAAAAAGTGAATTCTGAAGCATCGGAGGTCAAATACACCACTGTACATATATAAATATACATATATATATGGGTGACTGTCTGTATTACGTCTGTTATTCCGTGATATACGGGCTCATGGATTCTTGGCGAGTTCGCGGGTACCATAGGGTACCCGAAAAAGCAATATGGCGAGGTCTACTCATGGAATTACAGTCCGAGCGTTTCACATCACGTGATGTTACCTACCGCCTTTCATGAAAAGTTTCTCCGCCTTCCAAACTTCTTTCAGCCTCGCTCTCATGACCCTAGTTTGATCCGAAAAAAAAATTCAGGCGCTCAGTCGGTCCTCTGACAGAACTTGCTATTACCCCGTCCTAGAGGTTCTGTGGTTACCATGGCTTCTTTTCATGCTCTACCTTTGGAGCTAGTCGAGTTGATCGCAATGAATCTTGGCCTTGCGGATTACTTACGCTTCCGTGCGATTTGCCAAACAACATGGCGCACATTCGGGTGTGAAACTTTGATACACCTTCTAGACGATATCACGACACTCGACGGCAAAAAGCTGGCGGAGGGAATAGCGAATTGTCATTACATATCTCGAGGCCATGTCTTGCTATACGCATTCTGCAAGAACGGCATATCAACGGATCTGGATATTTTAATCCAAAATGGAGCATCGCTCAAACATGTCCCGTGTGGCGATATCGTTGAACGCGAAGTTCAGTCAGACGACTTTGAAACCAGGCTGGGCTGGTTGATCCAGCACGGTGCTTCTTATCAAGAGGTTCGAGGTGGAGTCAAGAGGTCGCTTTCCAATGCGTTCTTCAAAGACAAAAAAAGGCTAATCTGGCTGCTTCGGAATGGTGCTTCTCCAGATAAAGCAGTTGGCCCAGCCAAACGCTCGCCTTCCCGAACTATGAAAGCCTTACAAGCCAAAGCGGCGCGGAACAGACTTCGTGGTAAGAGGATCTACGAACAGAGATCAAATTCAACTACATAGCGCACGCTGCCGCAGTCTACTCCATACTTGGACGACAGCTGTCATCTTGTGACCTTCGATCATACCCGTCTGAGCGTATCTAATCCAAATGTGGGTGCCATCTTTCTTATCGAAATACATGTATACCAGCATTCATAAAAATACTGTAGTAGTGAATTTTTGCGCTTGCGCCGATGTGCTTTATGGGACGTCTCCATGGCCTATCTTGGCTCCCCGAAGGAGACCAGAATGAGAATCGTGGCATTTGCGATTGCGACGATAAGTGGGCGCTATATCTACCTCTGAAACTTTAATCGAATGGGAAACGGAACGCTCAAATATGAGTGCCTAGATCAGTTGGATACTATAATATCACATATTTACCCAGCCATTTCTGCTTCATATTAACTTCCCAAACAACATATCTCATAACACATTGACCAAGTGCTCGCTGCTCGAAATGGGATTGACCTTACGACTTTGGTAAACCTCGTTGTCAAGAGATTGCGGGAAAACAGAAGGAAAGTTGTCAACGAGCGAGCAAGGACCTGCGAGATGCCGGAATTTTAAGCAGGAGCATTACGAGTAATTTACAGCAGAGCATATTACATGGTGGTGTAGTCCAATGCGATTCAATGCTTGAAACCGAGCCAAGCCGAAAATGAACTAGAAGGAACGTACGAGACGTTCAACCGCAGCGGCACCCCCGGCGTACCGGGGGACACTAGCGATTATCCAATTGCCCCCACTAGGCCCCTCAGCACCGGTCCACACGCAGGTCCAACTAGACGCCCTTGCGGGCGCTGGCTGGCTGTGGCATACGGCCCTCGGGTGGAGGGTCCAGACCCCGTGGACAACGCCGACGAACGGCGGATTTAGCTTGTTTCGCCTTGGGGTCTGACAAGAATTCTATCCCAGCAAAGTGGGGAAACTGATTTCGATCCTCCCTGTAGCACAAAAACAAGCCACGTCCAATTTCAAAGGCAATTTGGTATAAATTTCCGCACAAACTTACTACCATCTAGTAGAATGTAGGTGATTAAACGATCATCACATGTAGTACTGTACAAAGCGATCAGACTCATTGCTACCGTGTCTATTTAATACACTCCACCTTCAATTGGACGTTGCTGCAACTGGAGGGGATAGCGGCGTCATGGTCGCGGTTCAAGTAGAACAACCGGGGCACATTGTGATACAGAGGATTTCAAAAGCAGTTTACCCCCCAGACACACACGTTTTCTTTCCCAGAGACCCACAAGGACGTCTAGCCCGGATCGCTGGGTGTCAGATTTTCCCGCAGCCAATAATACTGTGTTACGCCTCAAGGAAGGTACCTTAGCTAGCCAAAGTTAGATTGGCGCATTCTGAGTGGGGCGCTGGGAAAGAAAGCGTGTGTGTCTGGGGGTAAACTGTTTTCGAAATCCTCTGTACCCTCTTTGGCAGGAAAGGAACACGAAAACTCATGCTTTGCAGATCCAAGTGACACGCGGTGCCCTTACGGCGGAGTTTATGAAGCTTCTACATTGGCGCATGATCAGAAGCTTCCTGTGAATTGCCTTTTTCACAAACGATTGGCAATTCACTGGGCTGTTGTTCTCCTCCTTTTTCCTGGTCTGGAATGCTGTTCGTGGCATCCATTTTGTCCGCAGGAGAAAGTCAAGGGTTTGGGCAAAACTACCTCCATCAATCCTTGGTGTCTTTTATAGTCTGACTATACAGACACAGATGGTTATGTACTCAGTTTCACTATCACCATGAAAGTCAATCGACGCAGTCGGATTTTGACTAGAATGTGAATATTTTTCAGCGGGCTGTTGTCAGTCCATTCGATGATGATGATAGTGACCAAGCCTCGTATTGTTGAGGGTCAGTGTGTGTATCTCATATTCAGTTGCTCTCTGATGAAAGCTCCTTTAGGAGATATATATTTTATCATAACACTCTGTCCACATTCGTTGAAAGCGTCAGAAATCCCAACATAGAAGATTGTAGAATTCAGAGGGAGCAAAAGGAAAATTGAGAGAAAATTCATGGTACCTATTCTACGATGGTCACGAGTTTAAACTACGAAGGCCAAGCTTCAACGGGTTGACAGGTCGAGTACCCGTGCACGCAACCGTGACCTGACGCTTTCCGCAGTCTAGACGGACAGACCCACACACAGCTCAGACAACCGACACTCAAGCGAGGCTAGGAAAAAATGTCCATGATCTCTAGAAAAGAAAATGTAGGCACTCTTCGGTGATTCAACGTTGGGCCGCTCACAGATGAAGTGATCAGAACAAGAAACACGAGCCTGTCATTGCTGATTGAATATCTCCAATGCACTACGAAGCCTCAATTTAAGGGGGTCGTGAAACATTACGACTCTTGCTCGTCTCTGTCTGTGGGCATCAAAATGGTATTAAGAATGTCGCTGCAAATAGTTGCGGTAAAACGAAGGCATGGGTTGCAACAGGCCTCACTTAGGATAGGCACACGTGTCTTTCAACGTTTGCTACCTAGCACGTACGTGGTAGGATGAGCTGAGAAGTCTATATGTACGCCCTCTACCTACCCCCTTCTACAACTCTATCACTTGGCTCCGCAAAGTCGAGCAGGCCTTGTGTCTGAGACACTCGATAAGTTCTCCCCTTCGACCCAGTACTGGTTTTCCAACTGTACTGACATCTATAGATACATCGTGGACCAGCAAGCTAGAAAGTGCCTGTGAGAGACGTGATTCCCAGCAAATTTACTGTGCTTTCTGTGCCCGATTAAAGACACGAGACTTGGGCTAGCTGGTCAAAGCGAATGTTCTTTGCGAACATCTCTCTCCACCATAGCAGCTGACTGACCTGATCGACTGTTCCGCCCCGGGACGTATCTCCAAAGCGAAAATGTGACCGCCTGTGTTGCAGGTATGTGGATCTCAGCGCAACCCTGTTCGAAACTGGACTGACTTCAAAGACGATCCGAAACAATCACACCTGTGCATTCCGTCCAATATACACCAGCGCAAAAAAAGGAGCTCTTTCCCGTCTCTTCTTCCCTGATCTTGACCTTCAGATATGTGAGTCATT